CAACTGGCAGGGAAAGAAAATGTGTTTCCCAGCAGGCTCCCAGCTTCAGTTCCCTGCTCTGCCACAGACTGGTTGTCATACTCACATTCTATGCTCCCCTTCCCCTCTTAAGGAGACAGCATTTTCATGGGCAGTATGGGAGGACTCACACTTTCTCTGCAATAAAGCACACCTGGTTTGTTACTAAAAGCATGGCCCCATCAATTTAAAGGTGCGCAGTATAAGGCGATATACAATATATAAAAACCCTAAAGCCCATTCCTCCATGTGTCATTATAAATATGCACGAGTAGCATAAGCCAATTCCTTCCTCCTGGTACTACTGCACTACTGCCATTTTCTAATCAATGAAACCATTCTGTACTTCAGTGACAGCTCTGAACCTTCACCAGTGAGTGAACGGTGCTTTCTGCTCAGCTTCCTCCCATCACAGCCTTAGGAAACACCACACAGTGTATTACTAAGCTCAGAGTTTCATGTTACTGATGATGTGACACAAACCTATTTGTCCAGCTCCCTAACGTCAAAGGAGAAGGCTGCAGGAGAGCAGATGTGGTGCTGAAGAAGCAAGGTGTATTCTGAGCTAACAGCTCTGAAGCACTTGACACTGTCCACTACTGCAGCCTGGGTTTGAATCCAGGGTTCAGCAGGAAGAGGTTGCTGCTGGTAGGAGCTCCAAAGGCTCCAGCAGAGCCGAGGCACACATCCTGCACAAGCAAACACCGGTGCCTTTCTACAGTATGCAAATATGGGAGCGCCACCACCCCACCCTTGTTCCACATGGCAGCTCAGGCTCACCTCTACCTGAAACGAATCCAGCCAAGAATGAAGCTTTTTCCTCCTTCCTTTACTTGGGGCCCCAGGGAAACTTCTTTCATTACACACATCGATAAAGCAGGGGAGGAGAGCTCTCTCTTCTTGGCTGGCAATAGGAAGGATTGCCTCATACAGGATTCTCTTTGTGAACAGCAGGCTGAGAAGGTCCCTATAGGCTTGATTTCCCCTTTAATTTCACCTTACACACGTATTTCCCAGTGGAGGAAGGATGGTCCAAAGCTGAGGGCACTCTGAATTATTTGGCATCCTATGGAAGAATTCCTTAAAACATTAATTCACTCACTTCTCTTTTTGCCTTGGGAAGTTGTGGAACATCTACAACTGAAGGCTGTGATGAAGATGTTCACAAGAGCCCCTCCTGAGTGATGCAGATAGAGGTGATACTGCTTTAGAAAGTACACACACAGCTTCCCAACGGCTCTTCCAGCCTTAATGTCCATGGTTCATTCCAGTTCCACCCTTGAGTCTTCTCCTGTTATCCCTTTGCACCCATCCCTTTTCTTCTGAATTAATGCCTCATTTTGCCATCATCCCCAGGTTTTCTCAGCAGCTGTTATTCCCTCCCTGCCTAAGGTGGATCAGAACAGCAGCTCTCAACTTTAGCTCATAAGAATCCAAGATGTGCTATCTCAATAGAGCAAAATCCCTCTGCTCCTTAGACAGGAGGACACTACTCATTTACTCCCCGCATGCTGCCATCACTGTCTCCCAACTTACACGAGCTAGCTCCGAGGACATGGCAACATCTGTTAGAGCACTGGGCAACCACCTTCCTTATGTATATATGTAACACATATAGACAGCCCTGACTGCCGTTCACTCCATTCCTTCTCCTCTACAGCCTGCAGAAATAAAGCATCATTTCAGATGGAAGCTGCTTCTGCTGCAAAAAGCTCTCCCATGGATGCCCAACAGCCCTTTGAAGAGGCTATTCCCCAAAAACAAGGTTTGCCACCAATTATCCACGGGGGAAACAACAGATACATAAAGGGAAGCGTTGGCAAAGGGGTGATGTAAACCCGCAGCTGAATACATTACGGAGCCGTGGACATCTCTTCCGACAGCAGCATCTCAGCCTGCTACCGCCAAAGCACGACATGTCACAGCGTCGCGATACAGGCACGGCCCTGCCGGACCCCATGGCTGCCCCCAGGGGAGCCCGGCCCCACGGCGGTACTCGTGTCCCTGATGGGGCCAGCCTGCCCAGAGCCCCCAAGGCCTCACCGGGAGATGGCCCAGAGCCAGCCATGGCTGAAGCCCCCCGCCGTGTTGTCACCTCCAGCCGCACAAGGAGCCCACACCGGCCCCCTTCCCTCAGCACCGGGCCCTGGCGGGCGGCTCCCGACATGGCGGCCCCCCCCTCACCTCACCCACCGCCCGACATGGCGGCCTCACCTGGGTCTTGGTGGTGAGCTGGATCACCGCCTTCCTGAAGTTGAGCTTGGAGTCGGCGCTGCCCATGGTGCGGCCCGGCTCGCCGGGCAGGGCCGTCCCCTCACGCCGCCGATGCCGCCTCTCCTCCTCGGGCAGCCGCTGCCGCCATCCCCCGTCCCCCACCCGCCTCCCCGCTGTCAAAGCCGGCCTCGCAGCTCCGGGCCCTCCCTCCCCTCCGCCCGCATCCCTTCACTCCTCCCTCGGCCGCGGCTCCTCCTCCACCTCCAGGCCTCCCTCCCGCCCGCCCTGCCACCGCCCCGCGGGCTCCTTTCTCCTTCTCCCTCCCCATCTCCGCCTGCAGCCTCTTCCCCACTTCCCTACCTCCATCCCTTTCCCGGCTCCCCATGGCCCCGCTCCCCCTACACCCTCCCTCATCATCACTCCATGAAGCCCCGCGGCATTCCTCATTTTCCCCTCCTCTTCCAGCCCTTCCTCACTCTCCCCTCCGGCTTAGGCTCCCTCCACCTTCTTCACCCCTCACCTTCCTGACGTTCCCCTTCTCTTCTTCCTCACCTTTTGCTTTCTCTCCCCTTTAAGCCTCCTCTGCCCCCATCTTGCCCCTTCTCCCTGCATCCTTTGTCCCCCGAAGCCCCTTTGCTTGGCTGCTCTTAGGCACAAACCCTGTAACAGCTCCAGAGATCCCCGTCCCAAGCCTGGATGGTCTGGAAGAGCAGCAAGATGCTGGGGAATGGCCGGGTCCAGCAACCCTTGTCCTGGGTTGAAGCAGGCAGGATTGTAACCAGTGCCCTGTGCAAGCACCTTGTAACCAGCTCATTGCACATAGCGGCCCATTAACCCTAATGGAATTCTACCCACCTGCAAGCAGAGGTGGGTTTATAACCCTGGGGACTGGGAATTCAGGATTTGGCCCTCATTGACCACTTTAAAGCAGCTCTTTGAGGCGATTCAGTGTTTCCTTTGAAGCTATCCCCACTGCTTTCTGCACTGAACAGCAAGCAGGGCTTCTGGGTTTCGCTACGTTGCATTTCCCATGCTCAGCCCTGCAAGCCTCCCTTCTTCAGAGGAAATGAGGTAATTCCAATGGGTTTGGCAAAAGAAAGCAATCTGCTCACTCCCCAGCTGGGGCAGACTCTGGGAATTCTCATTTGCTGGCATATAACCTGGATGGGAATCACCGGTGTTTGACTCTACTGAGTGACAGGTCAGACCTGAGACATCCATGTGAGATCTACAGGAAAACGCTTCCCCAATATCGTGTTGCCTGGCTTTTGCTGCCAAAGAGCCGAGGGATCTGCATCCAAGCACTCACTCATATGGCAACGCTACATAGATAAATGCAAATCATTTCTAGTTAGGAGCAGGACCCTTCTCCCAGGCAATTCTTTTGCACAATTAATAGAATAGCTTGGTTGGAAGAGACTTACAAGAACCACCATCAAGTCCAACAGCTTCAGAGCTGATCTGAAGCATACTATTAAGGGCATTGTCCAAATGTCTCCTCAACACTGACAAGCAGGAGAAAATGAAGGGTTTCTCATTTCTGTATTAAAACTGCTTAGAAAAAGATCTAGGAGCCAGTCAGAGGTGGCTTTCACACATATCCCCCAAGAGTGCTTGATTATCTGTGCTGAGTTACAAATGCCAGGTTAAAGGAAACTCCTCGATTCTGGTCTGCAACTGCATTAAAGCAAAAGACTTCCCTAAACTTGGGGATATATTGATGTGTATTGATGTGATTTGGGGATGTATTGATGATGTATTGATGTATAGAGAGGTCTATGAGAGGGAAAGGGAGAGGAATAATCTACTACTTCTCTTTTATTCCCTGCTTTATCTCCCTCCTCTGCTGCTGTACCCATGAGCTCAGTACTAGCCATTCCTTTAACCACCCAGGGGCTCCCAGCTGCCTGTCACTGCTGGACTGGCTGGAGTTTTCTGACACAGATCCCATCTTTTCTGGATGCACAGTCTGCTGCTCTTGCGTGAACATCTTCTATTGCCTTTCCTGTTGGCAGCGCTGCAAGGTAATGCGATCCAGTAAAAACCCAGGGGTTCCATCACACAGAAGGCAAATAAACACTAAAAAAAACATCTAAACCCACTGACACATGAGCTCATTTGGACCTTGGAATCTCTGATGGATGCCAGGGCTGACAAGGACAAATAAACCCCCTTGCACCAAACTCCACAGTAGCAAGGAGGAGAAAGGCCACCTTCTCTAATGTTCATTGCCCTAAGCTGAAAAGCAAGTACCAAAATCCTAAGTCTTTCTGAACTTGTATGTAAGAGACCTGTTTCCTCCTCAGACCTCTGCATATCCTCATTTCCCTCAATTTTAAGCTCCTTTCACCCTTTCGAAAGACACAAGAACTTGTCCTTGATTAAAAGAAGAGAGAAACCCACATCCAAAGCACTTGTTTCTCACCAGGGTGCAAACCAGGATGAAGGGCTAGGGAAGGCACAATGCTGAGGTGATGCTACAGGACTGTTGGTATGGGAGTTCCCCTCTCACAGCCCCAGCGAGGGAGCTTAGAAACACTCCCCTCCTTGAAAAGCAACCCATCCAAACCCACCAAGGCAGAGAAGGCACCAACATCCCCTCTGACGGGTCCTGAGACTTGCCCAAAGTCACAAAGAAGCCCGTAGCAAGGCCAGGACACCCTCCACATCCCAGCCAGCGCTGGAGCAAGCCCTGCTCCCGGCTGCCCTCCCCGGGAAGCAGGGACCCAGTCGGAGGTATCAGCACAGGGGCGAACTGCAGGGCAGCTCCCTCCTCCGCACCCTGCCAGCCCCAAACCCAGCTCCCTACAGCCTCAGGCAGGGCTGGGCAGAGAGGAGGAGGAGGAGGAGAAGGAGGCCGGTCTCTTCTTCGCCTCCCCCTTCCCTGTCGCCGGGTTTTCTTGCAGCATTTCCATGCTAGAGGTCTCCACCGAGCTACGGAGAGAGGATCTGCCTGGCTGCGCCGGGCCCTCTTCCTTCCTTTGTGCATCCCCCAGCCCCGGGCAAGCCGTGTCCCCCGCCCCGGCCGCCACGTCCCCTCTTCGTCCCCTCCAGAGCCTCCCCCGGCCCTGGAGGCAGGAGGAAGTCGCCTCCCCGGGCAGGCAGAGCCGGGGAAGCGGCAAGGCACCGGCTGCCACGTCGTGCCACCCTCTTCCCGGCGCGGGCACCGAGGCCGCATCCCCGCCCGCATCCCTGCATCCCTCCCCGCTCCGCTCCGCGGCGGCGGGGTCCCCGCTGGCGGATGCTGCGCGCCTCCCCGGGCCGCTGGTGCTAAATGCTGAGCGCCGACAGGATGGAGGAGTTTCAGAGCGAGGAAGAGGAGCCCTGGTACGACCAGCAGGACCTGGAGCAGGGTAAGGATGGGGACACCCCGCAAGCTGCCAGGGATGACGGGTTAGGGGGATGTGGAGGCAGAAAAGGGGGCAAATCCCGGGTTCGGGAGGGTGGGATACCTTCTGTCAAGCATCGTATTTGCTTGGCAAAGCCAGCGCCTCATCCTGCAGCGGCAGCTCTATGGAAATCTCATCCCTGCTGCTCCAAATCACTGTCCTGGCCGTGGAAAGTTTAAATCCGATGGAGAAAGGCAGGGAGCCCAGATTCATCGTGAGCAACATTGTGGTAAAATCCTGGCGTGTTAAATCCACAGGGAAGCTGGTTCCCCAGAAAACTTGCTGCAGGCAGAACCAAAGATGGGTAGTTAGGACATTGCTTTCACCTCACAGCAGTTGCAGGTAGGGTTAGCACACACACTAGTTAAGAATTAACACATCAAAAATAATGCGTTGCTATGCTGAGGGTGCTGAAAGTGTCTCTCAAAAGCTTTTGCTGGCCAAGCCCAAATCCAAAGGGATCTTCAGCTTTTAAGTCACCTTATTACTTCTAGAGGTTTTTCCAACCAGCCAAAAAGCAGGAGAAATTGGGAAGGAGGAAAACACAAAATCAAGGCCAAGTTTCAAACAGCAAAAATAGCTTTGCAAGAAGATAACATTCACGCACAGTTTGTTTTGCAGCAGCTGTACATACGTTTGCACTGCTTCTGTCTAATGCTTATCCTGAGGCTGGACATCAGTGGCTGTGGGAATTTGGGGCATCTATTCCTTATCTTAACATTTTGACTCAACACACAGAAAGTTAATAACTGGAAGAAGTCCTGCTTAATGGCAGTTGGCCCAGGAATGAACCAAACTGCTCAGTGAATCCACAGGGAAAGATTCCTCCCTGAATCCAGTACCTCTCCGTCACACTCTAGGTACAGTTATAGATGTGCTTTGGGTTGCTAGCAGGGACGCGTGGTCCAGCTGCAGTGCCTCTGCCCCCCATCGCTCCAGGACATTATCTCATGATTGAAAGTTTACACAACTTCAGCTGCAGGGCAGAGGCCCAGCAAGGAATAAATCCAGCTCCCCAGGGATCGCTGCAGCTGGTTTTCAACCCCAGTTTATCAGCACACAGGAAGTATCCATAGCGGGATGCTGGGTCCTGGGCTGTGGAACACAGATGAAGCCAGGGCAGAGCACAGAGATGGAGCTATCGGCTGAATAAACAGTGCAGCCTTTGAGTGCTCAGAAATGCACATTGCTGGGTGACGTCTTCCCATGGCTCACAAGGGGCCTGGGCACTGCTCCAGGGGCGGGATGCAGGCTGAGGAACAGCAGAATCATGGATGAATATAGGGATTGTTGGACAACGCGGGACACATTGATTTTGAATGTAACGCCGTCCCTAGTGTCAGGTTCATGAGTCAGCACTGGCACCTTACAACTGGCTCACAACAATAAAACCACCTTCCTACTGTAGGCCAGGTTCCTTACTCTGTCCCAGCAGTGTAATGCAGAATAACTGCCTCCGGATGATGGATTGATGCTGGGACAGCCTCCACCTTTGAGCACATCCAGGTCTGGAAGAAAAGAGACTCAAAACAAAGCCCAGCGGTGGGATTTGCAGTCTCCTGTATGGAGAGGGGCTGCACAGGCTTGCACAAACACAGGAGGAGGGATGAGGAAGCCTTTAACTAAAACCAGCCAACTGGAAAGGTCCTACGGGGTAATTACAACTGTAATTAATTTGCATGATGCACAAAGCATCACGAAGGGCAGTGCCAGACTTTGTCCACACACTCTGTGCCTTTGCATTATAGCCATAGCAGGTTCCAGAGGTCTCTGGTGACAGCACAGCTGTGGAGCTGTTGGTTTGGAAATGGGGGGTGGAAGTAGAGTGTAAGACATCCCATGCAGCATGGGCATGGACCAGCATTACTAAGAGGGTAGGAATGCCAACAGCCCAGGGTCGCACAGAAACCCACGCCTGGCAGGCAGAGGACAAAAGCAGAGGCTTAGAGACTGTTTCTTGGGAGTGAGGGGTGGGAGAACCAAGAAACAGCCTTGGAGCTGTTTCTCTTGGAGCAAGAAGAGCAGAGGAGGTTCTGCTGTGAACCGGTTGGTCGCTGGGCCTTTATCATCATTTCACAGCATCAAGTATTTATGACATTTACATCCAAAACTGTTTGCTAAGCAACAGATGGCTTAACTGGGAGCAGTGTGATGACTGTGTTAATTAACCATTTTAGCACCACAAAGGAAATCATAGGTTCAGCTCTGCTTCAGTGCCTGTTACTTCCCTCCTCATCCTTCACAGAGCTTCACCTTGTTGAAGTAACAAATTTTTCCATGAAAATAAACCCAAATCCCTCTTTTTTCCTCCCTAAAGTGCCCACAGTGGTTGACTGCATCCACTACATGCCTTGGAGGCAGCCAGATCTGGTCCCCAGCCTCAAGGCCCTTCCAGCCTCCCTCAAATGAAGCTGGTGCCTTTCAGGTTCTCTAACCCATGTCCTAACACACTGTAAGCCTTTGTGGTTCAAGGTGTTGTATCAGGATGCCTTAGGACACACAAGTAGAGACTCAAATCCCAGCCAGGATACTTAGAAGTGACATGGAAACAGTACTGGTGTCCTTTGAGGTGTTAAATTCTTATAGTATTCCCTCTGGAAAGGCTTCCTGATTTGAAGAAAGGGGTAAAAATGGAGCTCTGTTTGCTTGGTAGCATGCCTTTGCTTATTACCAGGCTTTCTAATCATGAATAGGTGTCAGTAGTGCTCTGGTTCAGCCACAGCCTCACCCTCCATGAGCTGAGGAATCTGTGCCTCTCCGCATTAAAGCCAGATCACAGTGATGATGAACCTTTTCCAGCCATTGAGAACTGATGATGTGGCTCCAGTTGCATCATACCCTGTGCACAGAGTATGCAGCCAGAGCCTGAGAGAATGAATGAGCTAAAATTAGAGAGTCTGAGCTGGGGATAAGTGGGGACACCTTTTCTGTTCATCAGAGGCATTTGTGTGTAGAAGGGCTGTGTGCCAACTCCATCACATCTGGATCCAAACAGAGCAGAGACCAGACCCAGCTGCTTCCAGCTTTCATCTCCCCTGCAGCAAGCTCTCAAGAGAAGTCCTTCCTGCAGTCACCCCACTGCATTCCCTGATCTTCCCACTGCCAGCATTCCGGTCTAAGCCAAAGAGCAGGGTGCAGCCCAAGAGAAGGGCTCTCAAGGACACCCTTATGGTGTCTGGAGCCTAAATACCACCCGAGTGCTGGGGTGATCCCTCCTGCGTAAATAAAACAGCCTCACAATGCTCTGAATTAGCCAGAGGACCAGAAGTAGCACAAGAACCAGCGCATCACCTCATTGTCACTGCAAGACTGATCATCCTCAGCCATAGAAACTTTTGGGCCAAACCATCTGCAATGCAGGCTTAGGACTTGATAGCTGTAACCTCTAAAGGTCTCCAGATTTAAGGATCTTATTTTAATTCCTCCTCCTCCTGCCAAGCATCTGATTGCTTGCATGCTAAGAAGGAAAATGACACAAGGTGCTGAGCTTGCACCACTCCAAACTCATCCATGTAAAGACACAGGGTCACCAGTGCTTTGGTGACACTAGGATAAAGCCAGGGATACAGTGCTAGCACCCATAACTGCTTCACCCAGCCTACCTGGGGTGCTCCATAGAGCCCCAATTCACTATCAGCTTTCCCAAAGGATTCACTGTGCTGGGGAGCAGTTGGTATCCCAGATTCTATCTCTCATGATGCAGTTAACCCAGCACAGGGGACAAACCATGCAGCTCGCCTGTCCTTCAGCAGCACAGCAGTTAACTCGCTGTCCTTCCTCCCCAGTGGCAAGCCAGAAGGACGGAGTTTTGCCTGCAGTAGCTGAGCCACTTACTTATTTAGCAGTGCAGTACAGCAGGTAGCTTATGGAAGTGGAAAGTTTTCAGTGACTAATTGCCAAGCTGCTTGGGAATGACAAGAGGGACAAGAAAAGTCACAGGAGACAAGGGAATAAGATGACAGCTAGGTTAGCCTGAGGGGCAGATGAGAGCCTCCAAATCTGGGAAGGAAAAACAAAAGAATGCAAGAATATATATTCTTATATACATAATGTATGTATTTTCCTAGAATAAAAATTCCCCTGTTATGTGAAGACAGTAAGAAATGGGGGCATAAGAGAGTCTCACCCAGCAATCTGCAGGATCTCCCTCCTGGTTTCTCACAGAAGCTCCTTCCTCCATCTGCTGAACCCCAGGCACATAATTCCAGCTGTGGGAGGGAGCAGGATTAAAAGGACTGCTGGAAAAGGAAAAGGAGAGGCAAAAGAAAAAGAATCCAAACCCCAAACATAATAAATCAGAGCTTTCCATATCCCCCATCCTGAAACAACCAGCTAACAGTGGCTTTTCTCCTTGGCAAGGCCGTGCACGAAGGATTTATGGTCCAAGTCCTGAAGGACATTCCTTCCACATCAGCCCTGAGCCCAGGGGAATGGGAGCCCAGGCACAAGCCACTAACACCCTGCATTCAGAGGCTTTTCCTCACATCCCAGCATTTTCCAACTCTCTTCCTTTCGTCCTGTACCAACCAGTGCTGGTTGGTGACAGAGGAGATGCACCGATGCAGTGAGACAGTCAGGAGCCACATAGAGCTGTGACAGCACCAGGGTCTGACCCTGTTCCTGCTGAAAGCTGTGCCAGTGCTTATGCTAACACACAGGTTACTCCTGCACACACTCCATTTCCTCTGCTAAAGGACCTTTCCCAAAGCAGCACATGGTATATTCCCACCTTGCCTGACTCCAACAGATCTCTGTGCTCACATCGAACACATGATGAGGGCTTCCAAAGCTGCTACTTGACCTGCTCAAAAACACACATCTGAGTCAAGAATTCAGTCAAATATCTCCAGTACAAAATACCCTGGAGGAATGAGACCAGATGTTACACAACTGCTGGTCTTTCACAGCTGGGAATTTCAAACTGATTTGAGGTTAGAGTTTGTTCCGGGGGTTTTTCCATGCAT